TATGAGATGGAAAGGGAACAGGTAGAGCCACTGGGTAAGAGGAGAAGACTGGACTAAGCTGGAACTTGTTTTTGAAACTAAAATTGTCAACCAGCTCGTGGTTGTTGCATACATACGCAAACACGCATTCATGAAGCTGTAACAAGACCCAGGACAACTGGAGCATACACTAGTTTATTTACATTTACAAAATCTGTGACCACATCCGCTCCCCTGCCTGCATCACTTTGATCCACTTACATGCATGTATGGCAAGCATATGTCAACCAATTAAATCATGGAAGGCCTCATTGAGATCGCAAATTGAGACATAAGGAGAAAGTAGGATCTCAGCTGACCATCTTTTTCGGTTTAGTGTTTTTGGTTATTTTTCGTGAATAATAATTTTGGATCTGACGATACCCGTCACAAGACGGACTAAAGGTCAGCACGGAGTCATCGGGGTTGTAAGACGGTTAGCCGATGTCTTCTTGGCACATTTCAGCAGAAAAACGTCCAAGGCGACCCTCCTGCGGTATCCGGTGTTTTCAATCTACGAATCCCTTCGACCCACCTTCTCAAACGAAATGAAAGGTACACCGGTATCAAGTAGAACCATCACATTTAGGGGTCGGCGCGCGATAGAACGTCATATACTTGGCATTAAGGATAGGAGGTAGAAAGAAACGGTGTTGGCCATTTCTAGTTAGCTATTGTTAAATAAGTTTGATCTTAGACGTGGTCCATGAAATAAAGCTTGACCACAAGATTTACTCGATACGCATGCCGCACAGCGATAAGGGAATCTGCAACTTCAAATTAGGTTGTCATGCAAATTGAGAATCCGGACTTTATGGTCTTGATCTGTGAGGCTGGCGTATAGGTGCTATCAAAGGCTTGAGGCAGAGTGTAGAACATAATGCCTTGAGTAGCACGGATATGGTGGCAGCGATGGCGTGAAGTCACTGAAACAGCCAGATAAGGGAAGGATTCTACGGAGCAGAAGAGGACTCTGATAAGACCCGAAGGGAGAGGATTACGGATTAAAGTAAAGCCTTGGATCAGCACCCCCGGCACAGTGGTAGTTATGTGCAAACTGGCGGGGAGTGTGAATAGGTTTCAAATAGATTTAGATAAAAATAAATTGTGATATTGAAGAGGTGATACGAGGATATAGGATAGGTGAATAGCTTAGGATAGAAGAAGAGATACAACAACTATTTAGCACACAATTGGTCAAAGGATCGACTTCACTTGTCTCTGACGCGTTGTAGTGTGGTACTAAGAATGGTAAGACTTACTGACGATACCGGCGAAACGTCTGGGAATGTACCACGTCCACGGTCTGACTCTGGACATAATTGTACATATTATGGACTCCGGATAAGGTGCGTTTCTCTAAGTCTTCTTGCCAATATAATCAAGTAGCGAAAGCAAGGTCAATTTTCTACTATTTATACAAAGGAGACCGAGACCATACAAAAGGCCATACCATCATGATCTTTATATATACGTTAATACTACTTTTCTTATATTTAATTATTTCTCTCTTCACTTCACTTCCTAATCCAACCTTTATTCAATTTTCAGATGCCACCTAATACCTTCAAATTTGTCATTACTACATCTACCACCTGAACTCAGTCTGCACTTCGGTGAGTAATCATATTTAAGCTACTTTGCATCACTAATTGATTCTGAATGTTATGCAAAATTCGGCGTTGTTATATAGTTTTGACTACGAAATGAATGTTTAAGGATTAATGTTCCATCCACTATCCAATTTCCCATTAATATATTGCTATTCTTGCTTTTGGAATCACATTTGCAGAGTTATCAAACATTAGGTATTATTTATTAATTTAATTTCTTTAATTTGGAGGATTTCCGCTAGATATGGAACCGATAATATATAAATCTGACGAGTAACATATTTTGATATATTAGACCTTCGGGCTATTTAAAGGCAGTCATTTTTAGTTATATGAAATCTATTCACCCTTTTTCGTTTAAGGAGATGAAGGACTGACAGTTTCATAAGATTGTCGTCGTTATCGCTCATTATACTTCTTACGGACTAAATGAAAAGCTAACCATTCAAGTCATCCGATAATTTTAACGGCTTTAAAATAGGTTTATAATATGAGCGTAATACTCAACTGATAGTTATTTAACAATTTCTTCTTTCATTAATACTTTATGAAGATTGGGTCATGATCTGGTCTCTCACGGAGTGGATGAGAAGTGCGTGAACTTAATGATGCCTAGTAAAAGGCGACATTTATTTTTCTTTCTTTCCTAAGCATAAATGCAGTATACATAACTTCCAACATCAGGTGAAGTGAACACTGGCAGAACACTATTCAGGGATTCTTTTTATTGCAGCTTTTCAATAAAAATAAGTTCACTTTAAATGTGCCGTCAGTAACTGGCCAAATAGCAGAAAATTTCCAACCAAGTAATCTATCCTTATAGGAGCACAGCTGAGGTCCCTGAACTCTAAGCCAAATAACTTTTCTCTTGGAAATTAAATTGATTCGATTGGCAAATGAATCTTGGAATTCATTTTAAACTGACTAAAAGAATTATTTCTTCTTGAATTAACTTCCTTAAAATTTAGCACAGAATGGAGAAATGTGATGACAAGATATGCTTACCAGTGATCATAACGGGTTGTCAATCTGTAAAGCTAATTAATCGGACTATATGAAGATAGCTGAGTAAACACGATGAAGTGAATGCGGTTTTACCTTAATGAATTTTAGAATTCTTTATTTTTATGGACTTTATTTCTCTTTCTAATATTTTCAATCCGACTTTTTTATTATTATTGCTAAACTGAGTTCCATTTAGTGTGAAAGTGCATAATAAATGGATTAATGTATGATAAAGATAGATCAATCTCGGGCTAAGGAAACTCCATCATTTTCTGTTGAGTTCAAACTTCATATATCTTCATGCTAAATATAAGTCCGCTAATCAATGATGTCTCAGGATATTCATCGAAAACCAATTATTTTTCGTACATTTATTGTTACCTGACCTCAGCCTTTACACCACATTATTTCATATCATATTTTCTTTATCTGCTCTCTTTTACCGAAATCTCTTACATACAAATTAATGAAATTTATTTTTTATCTAATGACATATATTCACATATCCTTTCCCATTTTATCTACACTTTAATCACAATCTGTCTTCTGCTAACCGATTCTATCCGGATCAGCCTACAGTTTGGCCTTTGGCCTTTTGGCGTTGAGCACTGCTCGCCTTGTTTATCTATGGCTGCCCCATTTTGCTTTGCTAGCCACCCTCAGCTTTGCTCATTCCCTCTCTGCTTTGCTCTCTTGGTCGATGCCTCTGATCACTGCCCTTGCAAACTATATATCCGTTACTCGCCACTACAATGTCTTTCATCCTTGCTCTCAAAGTCCTCGGAACCCTGGTAATTGGATCGACAGAGCTGGAAACTATTTTACTGTACTTCGTTTATCCAATTCTAACGCTACGGCTAACACGTGGCCCGAAAATACTAGCGAAGCGGAGGAAGCCGACGGCCAAGAGGCATTGCTGAATCCAGAAAACTGTTGCTTAATTTCAGAACAGGTGAGAAAATAATCGAATTTATTCTCAGAATTAGCGAAAAATTGGTAAGACCCTTTTACGAGTTAGCCGATTTAGTGGAGGTAATTTTGTTCATAAGCTTCATCTAAAGTTCATACCCTAATCATTTAATATCCCCTACATTTTGCTGCTAGATTGTAGCGAATTTGTATGGTCTAATCGGACTACACCATTTAGAACTGGCCTAAACACAATTTCTATTTGATCTGCAAATGCGAAACACCTCTATTTTATAAGATCTTGAAGTATTTGGTATCCTCTACTAATTAGGATTTTATCAGCTGATAATATCATTTCACATCTTAATTAGGGAGTCTTCGTTTTTATCCTTTTCACTAAACCTCGTATTTTTGACTCAGATCTTCAATGAAGCCTGTTAGGAAGAAATCTTAGGACTTCTAGTTCACAGCTATAATCTTTTTGTTATCTTGATTCTTACTATCAGCGCTGGTGGTCGCTTTTAAATCCGTAGCGCGAAAAATACGGCGCCAGATTTCCTAAGAGGCAAAAGGGCCTGCAATAAATTATTTTAGGCCTACTGATCAAGCTGATGTGGATCTTTTACTGCTTTCCTCTATATTCTATTCGCAGCTTGGTTATATTTACCAGGCGAATTTGGAAAACCTACTTAATGTTTCCGCCTTCATTATGATATTTTTCTAAAGGTTACGCATCCGAACTTTACTTTGCTTTTATAATCAGTATCATCAATGCCACTAAGCATAATTAATACTGATGAGCAATATGGCATTAGGTTAGTTTAGCGCATAGAATAGTAGGCAAAGTGGTATTCCTTCAGTTAACCATGCCAAGGAAGAGCTGGAAGGCTCAGAATGCCTTGAGAGATAAACGGGGAAGTCAAATTGCTCTTGTTTCAATCGTTTATAGTCCAGTAAGCACTGTCAAGTCTATGCATACACTCAAACAAATAGGCATTTAGTATAAGATGTAGAGAATTAATGAATCAAATTGACTGGCAAGTACCTACTCTTATGAATAAGATAGCCCACAAAAATCAGATAGAAAACGAAATCAATAGATATCTTAGCACTCGCTTAAGATAGACTCATCTGCTTACACTTTTAGTATTCGTTTAACCTCTTAAATAAATCTTCCCATCATACATTTTAGCATAAATCGAAACAAATTTTAAAGTGTAATCTACTGTAGACATCCTTAACATTATTAAGTGATGAATTTTTTCATTTTATGACGCCTTTCGAGACTACTAGTTGATTATATATAGGAAATGTATTCATCCTATTTCGTTTAAGATGATGAATGACTGGTACTTGACTTTTTTAATCATGATATGAGTAGGCCTCATATTTTTATTGAACCTCAGATAGCTTTGTCACTAAAAAAGTGCTCTTGTCCAGGCTGGATTGCAGCCTCGATCTCGCCTAAGTCTCATCAGCAACCCCAGCTAGACTCGAACTAGGGTAGTGCGGCGTATAGTCTCGATACATTAAATACTATACTATACTGCCAAGAATGCTCTTGGTCATGACAGAAGTCAATTTAAAGGAAGGCTGGGTTTTTCGAAAATTTCTTTCTATTGTGGGATTTTTGATAAAACAAAGTTGTATTTGTGAAGAGAAGCTGGCTTTTGAAGAATCCCTTAGTAGATTGATTCTGGCATAACTTTCATTTGGTTTGAGAAGGCGGGTGGAAGGTATTCGTTGATTGGTCTCACCGGATACTGAAAGAGGGTTGCCTCGGACCTTTGCTTGTTGAGTTGTGCGAACGAGACCTCGGCTCACCGTCCAATGACCCCTTTGATTCTGTGCTGAGCTTTTTTCCGTCATGTAACGGACATCGTCAGGGCCAGAAACCATTATCCACCAACAATCAATAAAAACACTAAACCTAGAAAGGTGGTTGGCTGGGATCCTACCTACTAGGACAGTGAGCCGAGGTCTTCACACAATTCAAAAGACAAAAGTTCAAGGCAACCCTCCTGCGGTATCCGGTGCTGCCAATCTAAGAATCTCTTAGACTCGCCTTCTTCAACGGAATGAAAGTTACGCCAATAAGAATCAATTAAGGGATTTTTCGAAACCATTCATGATTTGTTTAGCTATTTCATGCTTATCTTCATGCATGTATACAAGTCAAAGTAATACATGAAGGGGAGCAGATATGGCCACAACTTTTGCATATGTAAATAAACTAGCCTTTTCCCTTCTTAATCCTGAGGATTGTTATGGCGTCGTGGACACGTGTGTATGCAACATTTACGAGTTGATTGACAATTTTAGGTCCGGCACCAGACTTCCACATAGTCAAGTCTTCTCCTCTTACTCGGTGGCTCTTTCCGTTCTCTTTCCTTCTCTCTCTAATTCTTTTCAGCAGCCAGAGATAGCTGTTAATTAATTTCCTATACTCGTTTCTCTTAGTCAGGATATTCTTTGTCAGTCGGCTTCCTGATTTTCCGCCTAGTTTGGAAGTCCACATATCAGGCAAAACGTTGGGATTTCTTGTTTTGTCTTATTTAATGTTTTCTTTACACTGTATTTCTTAGAATTTCGAAATTGTTACCAGTTTATCCTAACAGATAATTGTTCTCAACTCTGATTTTTCTTAGCTTTCTAACTTCTGATCCTTATGAGTTATGTCCGATAGACATAAACTCCTTATTATCATTGATTTTAATACTCCTACTTTAATACCACAAGTATGATTCGAGAATAAATTGAGAAGATCTGTGTTTGTTGGTTTCCTATATACATCTCTACCCAGTTTCTTCTTTTCCTAAATAACTCCTTTTATCTAAAAAGACTAACTTACTGTCCTTTTCTTACTCCATAGTGATTTGGGCCGCCTTATATAATCTATTTATTAACCCAAGGAAGTCTTCCAAACACTACTCTGCTGCCAAATAGCAAAGTAATCATCGATATATGTAACCAATAGTTTCTGAATTAAAAGTGACTCTTGTAAAAGCTGGACTTCCAAATGAGCCAGGTAGTTATTTTTATCGTATGTAAGTAGAGTTTCGAGACTACCAGTAAATCAGTAATATGAGATGTATCACCCTATTTTGTTTAAGGTCATGAAGGACTGGTAGTATAATTTCCCAAAATGATATCAGTAGAGCTAACTTTTCCATTGAATTTCACATGGCCAGGGAAGGAGGACTGCGTAACAATATGGCAGACTCAGCACAAGGGTGAAGAGGGGTGAGAACGCCAGGATGGAGTGTGGAGAGTTTTCATGAAAGCTGCTCAAAAGAGCACACCACGCTACATTTAAATAAGCAAGGAAAAAAATGGTGATAGTGAAAGCGTGATACAAGGATATAGAAAAGGTGACTAGTCAAGGACAGAACAAGAGATACCACAACTGTTTAGAACACATTTGGTCAAAGGGTCGGCTTCACTTGTCTCTTTGACGAGTTGCAGTGTGGTGCTAAGAGCGGCAAGACTCACTGACGATGCCGGCAAAACGTCTGGGAATATACAGCGTCTACGGTCCGACTTTGGAAATGATTATGCATACAATGGACTCTGGACTAGGTGCGTTCCTCTGAGTCTTCCTACTTATATTATCAAGTTGTGAAAACAAGGTCAAACAACTTATAAAGCTTTATAAACTTCACTAATATCGTGCTGGCTTATACTCATTTGATTGGGTAGGGTGATATGGTGACTTGTTTTTATATAAGTTTATCCTAGTCAGATCTCTAAAGGTAGTTTCGTTTATATTTTCTCTCTTATTTTAAATATATCTGCTTTGTTATTAATATAATGTTTCTCTTGAGGCTGCTCCCAAGCGTCTATTGTTCTTTGCCTCAACATATGAGACCAAAGGGAAATTAAATGTAAATGCCTTAAGTTCATTACATTTCACGGTACCCATTAAGATAAATGTTTCATAATTTTTAAATAACATGTAAAAAATGAAAAAAATCTGTGAAAATCGGCAATTATTATTCATGAGTACTAGGATGTATTAAGGATGATAAAAAGTTTGAACACTCGATCGTGAATCTACTTGATCTTGTCTATAGTGCTTAACTATACTTTTTGCATTATAACATATCCATTTATTAGTATTTTAAATTCTAGCGAGTTAACTAATATTTGCTTTATCTTAAATATTACAAATTGTCATTTCAAGTATTTTAAAAGTGCAAGTAATGACCTAAACTAAAGTGTGGATAAAGGGATGTAATTTCTTTACATGTTGTACCTCTTATCAGTCTTCTAAGCTTCCTTCATCGATTGAGTCTCGGAGGCTCCGATTCATCTCAATCTTCCGTACCCTGTTTATGTCTACTCAACGTCTTCTGCTCTACATCTCCGAAGCCTGGCTAACTACAGGCTTAGCCTGTCAACCCTTCCCTGAATTAAGTCGTCCATTTCCCCGTCTCCTAAGCGATGCTCGAAGTCAAGAATCGCCTACTTCTGCCTCATCTTCCACTCTCATTTCGAACTCTGGTTTAGGCTGCCAAAGACCCGGAAGGCCTACTTTTTCAGCTCTCCCTGTTTCTACCTCTCTGCCGGGTTCTTCTGGTATATTTCATTCGGCTCTGCTGATACTGCTTGCTTCTTTAATCGCATACCAGGTAATTCTGTCAGTAGTATACCATTGGATTTTTTGATGTCCGGATATTGAGCCGATTTTCTCACTCAAATATTTGCAATGCATCTACTTAATTGAAAAACGAAATGTTTTTTTTCTCGCCTGCCATTGAGGTATTTAACTATTTAAGTTGTGCCTGATTTGGAAACTCGTCTCTAAACTCGAACTAACCTAGAATAGGCCGACTTTCTATTTTATCCTGGAAAATTATCCTGACTTTCTCAATAGACACTTGTCACTACTATACAATAGATTTTTTTATCGAAATATTTCATGGGCTGATAAAATCATCGTCATGATTTTGTAACTGAATCTCATCTATTAATGCATCATGATCAGACCCGAGACTATATAGTCTCATATGTCATCATTATCGAAACTCTGTAAATATCCTCAAATGAAGTATCATTTTATTTTTCGCTTATAAATGCTTCTGTATTTGGGCTTGTTTTCCTTCTTCCTGGCAAATGAACATAACTTGGAAATACATTTAGCTTAAATGACCCGATGGGGGAAATGCAATTATTTTATTACTTAATATTTCTTCATGATTAATCAGGTTATGCATACATGATATATATTCAACCACTCCAGCTACTTGTTTATTAAATTTTAATGCAAATGCAGAATTTAATTTGCTTTTCTGTTATTAGATGAGCTTATCCTTTGAATTTTTTATTTTTTGATTCGTTTTAATCTTGTCACTCCTGGAGGACAACACCGACTACTATTTAAATTCTCTTAGATGCTCAATTAGGGGCGTTTAACTAGTATCGTGATAGACATATTTATTAAATAAAACTATACATTAAAATATGTGATACCTGACTTCTTCATTACTTGAGAGCGTAGTTTATACTTTCTATAAAAAGTAGATAGATTTTCACATTGAGCTACATTGCTTCTAAACAGGAAGTTATCAAATGTCCAGGATACCAAATATAGACCTAGGTGTAACAT